TTGCCGACGACGGTGACGAGCGCGTTCTCGTCGTGCGGCAGGACGGAGCACCACCACTTGCCGCGGAAAACGACGCCAGGAATCTTCCACGAGTTGAGCCAGAGACGGAACTTGAGCAGTTGGTTGACCGTCGTATACGTTAGCTCTTCGCCAAACGTATAGACCGGGTAGACCTACATCGCTTTTCAATCCACTAAACTCTACAACAATCAGAGTGCAATAAGACCTTGTAGCCGTGCTTGAGTGCGAGCTTGATAAAGCCCTTGCGGTTCTTCAAGTAGACTTGGTGCTTGCCGTAGTTGTAGGTCGTCGCCTCTTCGTAGCCACCAGGAATGAGCGCGATGTTGCTACCTTGGCCGCAAAGCTTGGAAAAGTTTTCCTTGCCAGCGGGGCCGCAGCCCGCCCACGAGATCATGTCGCCCATCACCGGGAGGTTAAAGAGCACGTCCGACACAAGCCATTGAATCTTGGACGGCGCGAACGTCTCGCAGCCAATGCCGTTGGTCGTCCTATACGATAAGACATGAGTTGCATCGATCGAGCGAAAGCGGTTTACCAGCCGCAGCTAAGAACGCCGTGGGGGTGGTAGGCGAGGAGCGCCTTCGAGTCGGCGGCCGGTGCACCCATGTTGTCTTCGAACACGACCTTTTGCTCGCTAAAATACTGGTGCTTCTTGAACATCTTGTACGCAAAGGCTTGGGCAGCCGGCCACGGCGCAAGCGGCGAGATGAAGTAGCGGTAGCTGTAGTAGATCGCGAAGAACGGGATGAGGTAGAAGCGGAGGTCCGTGACGACGATGGCGCCGAGCGCGAGGTAAAAGCAGAGTAGCGATGCAACCCAGACCGAGTAGAACACGGCGTACATCAAGTACTGCAGCATCGCGAAGCACTGGAGAATGCAATGGCCGAAGCGGAGGAAATCCCAGAATAAGCTCCGAGCCCGCGCCCATGACCCTTGTTGACGAATCCCGTGTCAACACGCGGTGGGGTGCGACAGACGCGCGCCCGTCGGTCACCGTACACTATTATATCAATCTATAAATCGTGTTGTACGGTCCGTTCTAGAGGCATGGTTTGAAAGGGACTTTGCTTTGTACTGCAAGTGTAGTCTTGACGCATGGCGCCTTGTAGCAAGCACGGGCTTGCATGTATTATAGTACGATGGAAGAGCTGGCAACGCATCCTTCATGCGACGTCAAGTCTGCTAAAATAGTGTGCATCAAATCAGATGGGTTGCAAGTATCCAAGCGCTCGCTTGCTTTCTAAGCCTAACGAATTGAATTTGCCTCATCTTATTTGACATGTGCAAGATAGATATACCTAACGAAGTCGACCGACCTCTTCTTTCCAGATACAAAGCCTAGTCTACGGTGGATGCCACGTAGGCTAGCGCAACGTTATCATCGATGACACGCATGGTACAAGCAGCCACGCCCGACAGCGCAGGCTGATACGGTGCTGTCTATAGCCACGAAGCGTGGACCGATGAGATATCCTAAGTGATCATGCGTGACGTGTCGAGTCGACGCACGGCTTGATGATGGTACATGGTCCTCCTCGTAGCAGTCGACATGGGGCCCAATCCCAGAGAGACATTGCAACACAACGGCGCCGTGGTCATGGCGTAGCTCGTGACGTCTGCGTTTGGCTGTCGACGCGACAAGCAGCGACGACACGCAGTCTGTCTATCGTCAAAATTGCGCGACCTGTTGGCGCCTTGTAGCCCCCAACCGCAGCATATCTTTCGCTAACCTGCTAAAGTTGGGTGAAAACGGACTGCGACGGTACTTTTCCCGTGTTGGAGCAAAAGCTGAACGGACATCCACGGCCTCGAAGAATCCTACTCGAGGGCAGGTGGGAACCGTGTGGCGTCTGACTACCCAAGCGCCGTGCCGATACATACTACGACCTCCGTCGAGCTGCGCGTGTCGTCGTCGTGTTGTTGAGCTTGGAAATGTTGGGTGAAATCAGTCCACTCTGGCCCGGGCATGCTACTGCAAGTAGCCAAGGCCATAAGAACTCATGGCCCTATGGACCCTTGAGCTGGTACCAGCAAGACAAAAAACCCTACTAGTACCGGCGAGGTGCCATCGAGGACCGTAGTATGCATTACACCTCGTGCACCGTCTCGGGGCGGTGAGGGCAGTTTATCACGTGTGATGGAAAAAAACTCGTGGCGTTAAAAGAACTCGAGCGTCTCGGTGGGGTCCTGCGCGTACGCTGCCTTGTGGCGTTCAAAGAGCGCTTGGAGGGCCGTCATGTACGCATCGTGGTACTTGCGCACATCGTCCGGCGTCGGTGACGGAAGCGTTGGTAGCTGCAGCGGTGCGCCGACCACCGTCGTCATTGTCTGCGACGCAAATGGAAGGAAGAAGCACCACCAGAGGCCTCGGAAGAGCACGCCGGGCAGTTTAAACCGGTTGAGTGCGAGGCGCAAGCGCAGACCTGGCTCAAAGGCAAGATACGTGCGTTCTTCCCCAAACGTGTGCTACAGACATGGGCTGCCTCGCCAGTCGAGACCGCTACAGACATGGGCTGCTACGCTAGTCTTTGGCTATCGGTGTGTGCCGGAGAGGGGAAATTGACAAATGCTCCTGCAACGGCAAGTGACGGATGCGTAAAGGGCGATTCGTTTTTGGTTTGCATACTTGGAGTGTGTATAGAATGCCTTTCCCCTGGTAAAAGTGTTTTGAGCTTTTACGTCGTGGGAACTGCAACTCGGAACTGGCAGTCGGTGCGAAAGCGTCCTTGGTAGCTACGAAGCGCATCTCGCGGAGGGCCGCTTTCTGTTCCGGTCTTGCACTGTGGGCGTCGCCAGCTCTCTACTAGTACCGACGGCAGACAGTGATCGGGGATAAATTAGAACACCCACAGACCTACAAACCGTCTAGGTAAGTAGTAGCAATCCCACTCACGATTCAATGTCAACGCGCTCCTCCACCTGTATTTAAGGACTCTGATACATACGGCCCTCCGACGTCGCCACAGCATGCAGCCACAAGCTGCAACGACTGGATTGCATCTTCTAGCTTGAGATCCCTTCAACGCCCTCCGAGACGCCCATGCTGACGAGCGCAATGATCGCTGTAACTGGGTCTCAGCGCGTCGTCGGATTGGACTACGCTTAGCTCGCTGTCCAGACGCTCGCGACGGCACCAGACGCTCCACCGTAGAGCAGCACGCGATTACAAGGCGGCGCTCCCAACTTGGAACGTCGCCCAAGACGATAGTACCAAAGTACGACATGGTCATGGGTACCGCAGCTGCAGCGCCCACGGGAAGCAACAGCGGCGCAGCGAGGCCACGCGCGCCGCCGATTTGAGGGTCAAGGTCGCCACCGTTCGTCGCCAACGGAATTTCCAATTGACTCGGTCATCCATTGCTCTATGTCACTTGGAACCAACGATTTTCAGGCATGTTCTGGACCAACAGTAGCAAGAGCCGAATGAAGTTCGCGTCTTGAGGGATCGAGACACCAACAATTTCATCTCCGTGCAGCTGCGGTGGCACTTGCCCGAATTGCCAATTGAAGCGTTCTCTTAGAAAGACGAGCCGACGCATTTGGGTAGTCCATTGTTCTTACCAACAAGTCGACGAGGCTGGCGACGACGACATGGGATTTCGCTGCGGGCTACGGAGTTATGGGCGGGGCGTCGACTTCCACACGGCAGCGACAACGCCGGACGCAAGGCCAGTCGCGCCACCACAGAGCATCGCACTGCCCGACCACAAGGTCGCGCCCGCCACTTGGAGCGTCGCGGCAACGCCTGTCGCACTGTGGATCGTCCCGACGCCCGCGACGACCGTGCCGAAGTACGACATGGCCGTGGGCACGGCGGCAGCGGCAGCGGAAGAGGCGAGAAGCGGTGCGGTGACGCCGACAGCCGTCCCGACGGCGCCAGCAATCAAGAGGTTCTTGGTCGTTGGATCCATTTCTTGAAATGAATTTCGCCGGCAACCCGGGGCTCGAAAGGATCAAGTCGCCAAGAAAGGGAACAAATTCTGCCAAATTCTGCTGGCTTTGGGCCGAACCAGGGATCTGATTGGTGGTTGTGGATGATCAGACGGCTTCTGATTGGTAGGAAAATGCATTGATTGTCGAAGGTTGAACAGACAGGTCGCACTGACATGTGAACACGAGTGACAAGTACTTTTGAAGTTGCTATTCGCCGTAGATACGCGCAAGTCATTCTAATCAACGCACGTTAGGCAGTGCCGTGTACTTTGTCTGAAAAGAAGTAAAGTATCAAGTGACAGACTTAAGACGATATCATTTTCCAAAGGCCTCCGACGAAACCCGCGCCAAGACCCGTGACACCGCCGCAAGCGACCGCGGAGCTCGACCACAAAACGGCGCTGGTTGCTTGGAGCGTCGCGGCAGCGCCTGTCGCGCTGTGGATCGTCCCGACGCCCGCGACGATGGTGCCAAAGGCAGACATGGCTGTGGGCACGGCTGCCGCGGCGCCCATCGATAGAAGTAGCGGCGTTGTGAGGCCGAGGGCACCGCCAGCGACAATCCAAACGGTCAGCGTCGCCATCTCTGAAAAGAGCGTATGAGGCTGGGAGCTTGGCATTCTTGTCGGTACCACCAATGGTTGTGCGTGCGACGATATTGCACACATCAGAACCTAGCGATCTTCCACAAAGACATTCAGTGGGCTTGACCGCCAGCTCGTCATTCCAGCGCACACCTGGCAGAACGCCATCGATGCTTCGATGTAGGCTCTCACTGCCGATGGATGCACAGTACGTATCGGTCGCGACCTTGTCTGCAGTGCGACGAAAGACCGCACCTGTTTTATACACAAACATATCTTTCTGTTTACAACACACCGGAAAGGCCGCATCGGATCGTAGGCGATGGACGAGCTAAATGCCATGTCGCTCGAGGTCTTCCAGTACCTCGGCGCGCACGCTGCGGTCTCGAACCTCGAGCTCAAGCCGATGCCAGGTGTCGCCATGCACAACATTAGTCTCTGGAACCAAGTACGTTTCTCCATCTTGTGCGACGAGCCAAAGCAATCCCACTAGCGCAACAGCCCCAAGAAGCTACCGGCAGACCTTGTCGCGTTCCTCGCCGCGTCCAACGGTCTCTCGATCAAGTGGCACGCGGTGCTCAACCACAAGTTCTTCGCGCTCGGTCACTTTAGCATCAATTCGCTCCAGAGCATGAAGCGCGTCGACGTCACCTTGGGCAACGCGACCCACGGTTCGTTCTCAACCTCTTCAACTTTCTCGTCAACTTGTCGGTAGCGGGCTACGTCCTCGAGTCGTCCAGTACGCTGGGCGAAGTGTGCATGGTGTTCGTCGACGATGGTAAATCTGTCTGACTTTAGACTTGAGTCAAAACGGATCCATCCATCCTCTAGAGACCGTGCAGGTGTGGCTCAAGGACCTCACCAACCAGTGGCACTTTTTAGCCAAGTCTTTCTCCGACTACTACCGCCTCATGTACCCGACCTATCAAGAAAGGCGTGGACCTCAAACGGTCTAGGATTGTGCACTTGGGACTTGTGGGGTGGCAGCTGCGCTTTACGCCCAACGGCCTCGACCCCGTCACACAGGTAGAATTGTACGCGGGCCAACGTGTCCACGCGACGCTGCGGTAGCAATGGTTTCACTTGTTTGTGCCGGGACGCATGCAGGCGCGACCGACCGACAAGAACGAGGCGGCGCCAGAGGACGCCAAGGTCACGCTGCTGCCCTTCACGCTCTAAGTCATGTAGTACTACCGTCGCCAATACTAGACGTCAATAAGCTGGCATTGGCAGGGTTAAAGTGAGCGCAGTCAACAGAGGGAGTGGTCAGAAGAGGGCTTTGGTTGGAGCGTCTCGAGCTACGGATCCACGGTCGTCCAGACGCTCGCGACGACACCCGACGCGGCGCCGGCGGCTCCGCCGTAGAGCAGCGCGCTGCTCGACCACAAGGCGGCGCTGCCAGCTCGGAGCGTCGCGGCGACACCACCCGCAGCGTGCAGCGTGCCAACACCCGTGCCAAAGTACGACATGGCCCACGGCACCGCAGCGGCAGCGCCCACCGAAAGAAGCAGCGATCGCATACAACGTCAACAAGCCCATTTTGACACTGGTGCAATCGCTGGTTCCATGCCAGGTCGTCCGGACCCATCCAGAAACCAAGACCTTGCCGAGATGCAAGGTGACTTTTCTCGTCCTGACTTTTCTGGGCTCTCTGCGTTTTGAGGATAGCTATGGACAGAGAAACGAGTTTGTTCACGCTATAGAGCATCAGCGGTCGACGGCTCGAGGTAAAAGATCGTCGGGTCCTTGTACGTGAGCTTGGTGTAGTCTTCCAAGGTGACCAGGCACGCTTTGCGCTTGATCATGTCGGGCTCGATCGAAAACACTTTTCGAACGCAGACAAGGCCCTGGGCTTGGTCGCGCGTGCTACGATTCCAGTGAGTGCCTTGCAATTCGCAAAAGACACAAGGTTACCGTCTGTACAGCTGTACTTTGATGGCGATCGCATCGTCGGCGTCGTATTCGATGCGCATCACTTGGCAAACTTGATAGCGTAAATGGTGCGTCTTGGTCGACGCGGTCGTGTCGACGAGAAGCATTTCACCAACCGCGATTTTGGTTTTTCTGCGCAAAAGTGCGATGAGACCCACGATTTAAACGTGATTTCGTACTTTTCATTCGAAAGACTCACTTCCATGGCTTTGGACACGAGCTTGCCGTCGTTGTTGAACCGATCGGGGGTAAAGTGGGCGTGCTCAAACTCAACCACTCGCTACAGGTCCGTCTCAATTGAGCACGATGCCATAAAGCATGGACCGACCTGCAAGATGATGCACTCGTAGATCCACGCAAAGCGTACGACCGGAATGTCGTAGTCATTGGCAAGTGAACACAACTACATGTGCACGGCATGATGATGTGATGCTTCTCAAAAGCAATCGAGTACATAAGTCTGCTCGTTGGAAACGAGCACGTCGATCTTGCCGGCCTTGATCGCCGCTTGCTTGATGCCCTATGGATGAAACGTACTTTAAGGCTTGGCTGTTGGAAGCAAGAGAGAGAGAGAGAGACAGCGACGCACCTTAACGATCCCACGCGCACCACAGCCGTCGAGGATGAAGACGGCGGCGTCGGTCAAGCCTTGAATACTGTCGCGGTCCTGGAACGAGACGTCGTACGGGATGCCGAATCGCAGCGTGCTAAAGAGCTTGGACTAGGAAGAAAGAAATATAAACAAAATTGCAAAACCCATTGCCAAATGTACGTTGTGTTGAGGCGCACGCACGGGACTGCGCTTGAGCGTCCACGAGAGTCCCGCCGGTATCCAGTACCTAGACGAAGAAAGATTCGTACGCGTCATCTTCACGCTGCGCCGCGTACCCTGCAACGTCGACGATCGACTGTGTCTGAAAACACGCCGCGAGCCAATCGGGGTGCACGATCGGGACGCGGCACACGAGTGCATAGTGAAACTTGAGACGGCGGCTGGCCTCGGGCGTCGCAATGACAAAGCATTTGTCTAATTGCACGCGTATCAAGCCAAGCATCGTGCCATGGCCGCGTAGTACTTTCGAGGTCCAGCATGGCTTCGGGCTTCGACTCGACTTTGCCGCCGTACGCCCGAATCTGGTTCTGGAGCTGCTTGGACGCTGGCACTTCAAACCCCGAGATGAAAAAGTGATACCGCTTGTTGAAGAGCTTGGTGTTGCGGGACGGATACGCCCTCTTGGTCTCGTGCACGGGCACGGGCGACGGCGTCGACGTCTTGAGCCGCTTTCGCGCCGACTCGGGGGTTGCCACCGGCGTTGCTGCCGGTGTCTTGAGCGGTGTCGTCGATGGCGTGCTTGTACGTATGCGTCGCTTGGACGACGGTTTCTTGCACGGCGGTGGCGACACCGACGTCGGCGTCGTTGATGGACGGGCCGCTTGGTGGAGCACCGCGTCTACAAACGTCGGTGGACGTGGCACCGGTGGCCGCACCCGGTGGTACGGCGAGACGTAGTTGGCGACGTGCAAGCCTGCATGGAGGGCATTGGTGGCAATCGCGCCGAGGTCTGGCGGACTAAACGGCGTCTCGGGCTGCGACTGGGACGCGTCGTTCAAAAAATCAAATCGGCGATGGAGCGACGGTGCGTCCGACGACTGGCTGTCGGCAAAGTCGAACGACGGAGAGGCTTGGGACTTCTTGTCTGTCGACACAAACTCGTCCTTGAGCCGCCGAACCAGGAACGGCTTGGGCTTGGGCGCCGACTCTGGCGAGTACGCATCGCTGAGCGTTGCTTGCACGTCATCGATCGACTCTTCGACAATGTCAAGCCGCTCGGGATGCGAGTCGGGCGCGACTGGCGTCGGTGGCACCGAGCTTTCGGCGTCGGACTTGGATCTGGACACAGACAAGCGCTGAGCCGCTTTGCCGCTGGTCATGCCTTGGGCCGAGACAGCCGGCGTCTTGCTCTCCAGCGTCGGAGCAGGAACCGAGCGATCGTACGGGGCGAGTTCTGTTATCTCGTCGTCGTCATCGTCATGGCGGCCGCCATCGATATCGAGGCCATGGTCGTCATCTCTGTCATCCCTGTCATATGAAGCGACTACAGTCTCTGGTGCATCGACGACCGACGTGCCAAGGGTCCGTGGTGCCAACGCAGTAGGGTCGCCCTGCCACTCGGTCTCATCGTCTGCGTCGTCCTCAGCGTCGTCATGGACATCTTCAAACACTTGAGTTGCCTGGATCTCATCGCCGTCGCTCCACACATACGTGTCCGTGTCTGATGGTGGGTCCTCTATGAGCTGCGTCTCATCCGAGATGTGGGTGACGTCCGTGAGATGCGTCACGTCCGTAAGGTTGGTCGAGTCGGTCAGATGCGTCACGTCCGTCGGCGGCGAGGCCTCAGCAGCTGGAGCGGCAGCCAAGCGCTCCGTCATCTGCGTCATGTACTCGTCGTCGTCCATGGAGAAGGGGAGCCCGCTCTCCTCGGCCGTGCCCAGGCGCAGCGGGAAGACATGGACCTCCTGCGTCATGGCCGGCGCCTCGACGTAGACGTCGGAAGCGCTCATGCTCAAGCGCATGCAGCGGTCGTCCTCGTCCTGCGTCGGAAACGTGCTTGGCGGCAAGCGCTCCATCGCCAACTCCCACGTGAGTGTTGGCGGGGACCAATTTTGACCAATCACAGCACGTCGTTTTCGTTGCGGCATATGCCGAATACAATCGTTGAGGTGTGCGTGCAAGCAGCGGGGAACGACGCGACCACCGTCGGCCCGTTGCGCCACGCATGGATGTGTACCAAGCACTCTGCAGGATGCACGTGTGGTCCATGTGCTCTGCTGCTTTCATGTGCAATGGCGAGGGCATCATGCCGAATTTAAAAATGTAGCAATGTGGCACGCCAGTTACCGTTGCTGGAAACCGGAGCATGCTTCGCCCATCGGTTCGTCCTTCGGTGGTCGCCGGGGGTAGAAGAATGATGCGTCCATGGTAGAGCACACGCGACCTCCGGCCAGTGACGCCGGACGCACTCTCCAGCGACGGCCCAGAGACACCCGACCCCGCAGCGCCACGCCGCCTCGCGCTTCGGCGGCAGTCGTCGGTGACCGTGCCGCATGCGATCAAGTGTCTCTGCAGCAAGCGCCTCGTGGCCAAAGGCGCCGACGTGTCGCTGTGCCCGATGCATGCGATCGACTACATGGCGGACCTGCCAATGGACCGACCCAAGCTTGCGTGCATCCCGCCGGAGGCCAACATCAAGAGCCTCCCGCCGTTCGTTGTCGGCGAGCAAGTCGTGTTGCTTGGCGGCGTCCCATCATCATCATCATCGTCGCCGCCCAAGTCGCCGCTCAAGAAGCTGCTCGGATTCGAGCACTGGCGCAGCACCGTGCGCATTGCGAGCGACGCGGCCTACTGCACCGATGGCACGTTCTCGATCCAGACGGCCGACGGCAGCATCTACGATGGCATCTCAAGCATGCGCCTTGAATCGACGACCAAGGCGGCCACCGATGTGACGCCCCGCTACGTCGACAAGCTCATCTTGAAGCTGGTACCGTTCTCTTGTCGACTGTAGCCATGTATCCTGGAAAGCACAGGGCCGGGCGGGCGCCGAGCTCAACATCCGCGAGCTCTCGATCGCGCCACCCACCGAGGCACGACCGACCTTCCTTCCCCATATAACCTTGCGTGCCTCGTTAGATGCGACGAGACGAGCTCGAAGCAATGCTCATGCAGTACTCGAAACTCATTGAGCTCAACTACCTCTCGCCCATCAACATGAGTACCGTGCTGTGCCGTCGGTCGGCGCTGCACGCTGCCTTGGGCAACTACGAGGCGTCGCTGCAGGACGCAGAGGTCGCGATTGGCCTCCAGCCCAAAATGACCAACGTACGTGGTGCGCTTGCCACAGCCATAGTGCGAAGGTTGCACTAGGCCCATTTCCGCAAGGGCGTGGCACTCGCAAGCGTCGGCGCCTTTCCGGATGCCTGCGTCGCGCTCCGAAGAGGCCTCGAGGTCGACGCCTCCTGCGCCCACTTGCGCCACGCCCTCCAAGTGGCCATGGACCATCTGCACCACGCGCCAAAGATGGGATGAGCACATCTAATAGATCAATCCTCGGATCGTCGTCGCGTGCATCTGTCCAGGATTCCTCGGGATGCAGGTACAGGGCTGACGTCGATGCGCTGCACAGTGCAAGCTCCAGCGTCGTGCTCGGAGGACGCAGGCGACGGGGCGAGGCTGCGCATGGGCGTGACGACAGGCGGCTGTGGCTCGGCACGGCCAGCGCCACGTACCTCGAGTACATCGGTAGCTTTGCCGGTGGGATAGGCAAGTTGTGAAAAATTACGAAAAAAATTGCCTACCGTAGGGGGCTTGATCCAGGTCTTTTTATAATATCATTCCATTGACACATACAAAGCCCCAATGAGGCGAACTAGAAAACGATTAAAATAGCCCGGGACCATCTGCCCACCAACATTCTGGGTGGGTGCAACCCACCAGCCGATATGCTGTTTCACAGGTTTTATACATAGCGCGACGACTGTAAACACTGAAAATAGAATATTTTGAATCAGAGGTATTACAAAGCAGAGGTTTTTAGGGCACCGCGTGCCAATAAAATCTCAGCACCGATCCGACGCTGGCCGCTCGGGCTTTCCATTGCCCGACCTCGTGGCGCCAGACGCAAGCATAGCCAGCACATCGCCGACGACCTCGCCAACTCCGGCCGTCGACGCTGCCTCCTCGCTGCCGACCCTGCAGTTCTCGCCGGACCATAAGATCATCATGCTCGAGGACGACGAGGCCATGGTGGGCCATGGGCCGAATCGCGGCAGCACCGTGTACCACCCCGAGACCGCGCTCGATGTGACCGCGCTGCGTGCGAACCGGCGGCCTAGCCACCGCACGTCGATCGTCGAGATGACCGAGCGCATTCCACGCTTCGTGCTCGGCTTCGCCTACACGCGCAACTCGTTCTTCGCCAAGAAGCTGTTGCTCTTTGGCCTCAGCATCCTCGCGATCGACGTGCTCGCGATCGTGTACTACTACCAAACGATCGACAAGAACTTTGGCGTCACGACCAAGAGCGCGGGCTGCAACGACTGGGTCGAGTTTGCCTTCCTCGTCTACAGCACGGCGCCGTTCATCCTGCTCCTCTTCCTGCCAGCGACCGGCATCCGCGCCTTTGAGCTCTTTGCGCGCAAGAACCGGTCGCATTTCGAGCCGTCGGCGAAAGTCAAGTTCAAGGTCACGCGCACGTGGTACCTCCAGTTTTGCGAGGTAGACTTCCTCTTCCCTGTCCACGTCCATGGACTATCTCTGTCGACCTAGGTCATTGCCGTGCTGCTTCTACTCTACAGTCTCTATCTCTTCCTCGTCGCCCTCGACATGCTGCTTGGCGACGAGACGTTCGAGTGCAACGTGCCTGCGCCGCTGCTCTACTCGTGCATCGCGTTTCTGATTTTTTCTCGATCCCCGCGTACATTGCCGTCTTCACCCGCTTCCGCGAGCACATCAAGATGCAGCTCGGCGCGTACAAGGAGTCGAGTCAGACGGGCGACGTGCGATCCCACTTGGCGACAGCCAAGAGCGCCAAAGGCCGGCTTCGCAAGGCGCTCTACAAGGCCGCCGAGCACTGCAACCTCGACGCCCTCGAAGACGCGCTGCACGAAGCTCGCTCGCTTCTCGGCTCCAATTTTGCGCAGCGCATGTACGCGTCCACGAAGCTCCATTTTGGCTTCTGGTCCATGTCCAAGAAGAACCCGGTGCACGTGGCGGCCGGCCTCGGCGACAATACTGCGCTCGCCGCGCTCAGCAACGCCGGGTTCGACCTCAACGCGCTCGACAAGGTCGCCCGTGTCCGCTTCAGTACGTCGGACCTCTTTTGGTTTTTCGCGCGCTTCATTGTGTCGCGGCCGTGGGTGGCCACGGACGGGGACCGCCACAGCAAGGCGACACTTATGTCGCCGCTGCACTGCGCCGTCGCCACGTCCCAAGTCGAGACCGTTCGGTGGCTCGTCGAGGTCAAGAAGGTGGACGTCAACATCATGTCGCAGTCGCCGTTCCGGGCCGACCGCCTTCCACCCCTCTTCCTCGCCGAGCACCCGAAAATCGTCGAGATTCTGCTCTCGGCGGGCGCCAACCATCTTGCGGTGCCCGATCCGGGGTCGGCATCTTCTGACTCGTATCAGATGATGTAATGACGATTGCGATTAGATATGTCAACTGCATCACCGCCCTCGAGCTCGCGTACCTCCGGGAGAACTACGCGGTCTGCGCCGTGCTGGAAGACTGGGGCAGCGACGTCGCGCTCACACCCATGCACTCGGCGGCCGCGACCGGCAACATGACCAAGTACGTTTCTATCAACGTATCCAGAAGGGTGCCAACACGATGGCGTAGGTTGCAGCAGTTTCTCAAGATGCAAGTAGACCCGAACTGCTTGGGCGAACACGGCTACATTGGCGTGAAATGCCGCACGCCGCTGCACTGGGCAGCGATCAACGGCCAGTGGTCGTGCGCGTCGCTGCTGCTCGCGGGCGGCGCCGACCCGGACTTCCAAGACGACCTCGGCCGCTCGCCGTTGCACTGGGCCGTGCGCAACAACAAGCTCGACGTGGTCCGCATCCTCGTCGACCACCATTGCAACGTCAACCTCCTCGACAAGAAGGGCATGACACCGATCATCTGCGCCGCGTTTGCCGAGCGCGTGGACCCCGAGTTGCTCAAGGTAATCTGCAAACGGATTGTGTCGTTCTTGTCTACATTGCGGGATGGATCATATGCGTGCTCTTCTAGTTGCTCGTGGCCAAGGGCGCCAACATCAACTACCAAATGAAGTCGAACGGCGACTCGGCACTGCACCTCGCCATCAAGCACGAGAAGCAAGAAACCGCTATTTCACTCGTACGCTCCAGTACACACCGCGCCCGGTTGACATATATATATATGTATCCTGGTAGGTGAGCTGCGGCGCCAACATCATGTGCACCAACAATGCGAGTTTCCGAGCGATCGACATTGCCACCTCGACCGCGCTGCAATTCGCCATCAAGTCGGCGGCCGGGCACCGCGATGTGATGATCAGCTACACGCATTCGCACGCCGAGTTTGCGCTCAAACTGCGCAAGTCGCTCGAGGCGAGCAACATCACCGCGTGGCTCGACACGATGGACCCGAGTGGCATTGGCGGCGGGTCGGTCTGGCGCGAAGAGATTGCAAAGGGCATAGCGAACGCGACGCTTCTCGTCGCGATTCTCACGGACGACTACACCAAGTCGGAGTGGTGCTTGAAGGAGCTCGCGTGCGCCAAGCAAGTGGGCACGCCGGTGTTGCCCATCTCGACCGAGCACGTGCGCTTGAACGAAGAGCTGCAAGTGTACCTCTACACGCGGCAGATTGTGCCGTTTGAGCCTGCGATCACGGCCATCAACAAGAAGAACCCGCGCAGCATCACGTACGCGTACAACGACGACGCGTACAACACGCAGTTCCGTCTCCTCCTCGACGGAATTCGCGACGAAGTCGAGAAGAAGCGCAAGCAAGTGGCGCTGCGGCCCATGGAGACGATGAGCCCGACGAACGGCGGCGCGTTCGAGAACCACAGCCTTGCGTTTGGCTTGAGCAGCCCGAGCAGCACGAGCCCGAGCACGTTTCAGGACACCAAGTTCGTGTTCATCGCCCACGGCGACTGCCACCGCAACTTTGTCAAGCGCCTGTACCACGAGCTCACGACGACGCAAGGCGTGGCTGCCTACCTCGACCTCAAGACCAAGAACGACATGGCGGCGCGGGTGCATGCGGCGAAAGAAGCGATGCTGCGCTGCGCGTGCGTCATCGTCGTGCTCTCGAGCAAGAGTGCCAAGAACGAGATGCTTAACGACCAGCTCGCCTTCGCCGAAGACAAGGGCAAGCCGATCTTCCCGGTCGTGCTGCACACGGAGTTTACGGCCCTGCCGCCCAACCAAATGTACTCGCTCTCGCGCGCGCCGATGCACCATTTTGCGCTGGACCTCGGGTTCACAACGTCGTTCGACCAGCTTTTGCACGACCTCCGCCCCCACGTTGCAGCCGAACGCCCAAGTCTCGTGGCCGACGACGACGATGATTATGGCATTGTGTAAATCACTATCTACTGTATCTTGAACTCCTTGTTGCTATTACTACTATGTGTACTCGCAACCTCTCCCACCGTCAACGTTGGTGACAGTGCTGGTTGCTCGTCGAGACTGTGACGATGTTGGCTCGACCACGGCGCCAAGAGATTGGATTGGCTAAAATGGGGGCAATTTCGCCGTCTATTTTTCTCTTTTGGACCAATCCGACGCAAGCAGAATGGCCTAGCGCGATTCCTGGCGCTTCCAAAGCCGAAACCTCGCTGAAAAACTTTGTCGCTCATACGTGGCCTGTGGATAGAGGACACTTTGGGGAGTATGGAATGCGATGTCGCGTCATCATTTGCGACCTACAGCGAGCGCTAGGCAGTGTTGAAGATTCATTCGTGGCGTGTACCACTTTTAGCCATATTTACTGGCGCCCCGACATTCTCGTCTTGGTTCGACCCTCTCGGTCTCAATCCTGGGCATTGAATTGACTCTTTCACACCTCGTCGCACGACAGAGGCTCGAGTGCATCGTACGCATGTGCATTGGAACGCATGCGCCTTCTTCGCGCATTTCTTCGACGTGCTTCGTTGACTTCGCGTGCACTCCATATAAACAGTGTTTTGTTTAAACAGAATATAAAACACTGGTTTTGTGGCGTGCTGACGCAACACCCGACGCGTCAAATTATCCGGACGTGAACATCCTGGAAACCAATCGCTCGCTCCATGCTGCGCCAGGTTCGCCGCTTGAAGCTGCGCCCGCCGCCGCAATCGCGGGCGACACACGCGCTTGCAGCCGACGACCGGCAGTGGCAGCACGCGCTCGAGTCGTACTCGGAGCAGCAGTGGCGTAGCGTCTTGGCCGACGAACGCCTCGCGCTCGCACTGCACAAGCCCGGCGTCACGAGCTACGTGCATCTCGCCAACAAGCATCCGGGCCTTCTCGAGCCGCTTCTGAGCGCTCTCGTCTCGGGCGTCCACGCACAGCATCCCAACAGCATGGCCGACCAAGAAGCCTACCTCGTCACGGTACTACGCTTTCTTGGCGACATGCCAGGTCACATGCGATGTAGGTGCTGCAAACGTTTATAGCGACTTAG